TCCAGAGAGACTAGTCTCCTTCAGTGGCAGGTATTGTTAGGGTAAGACAGAAGGATAACATTTAAATACCCGTTGAACCAGAGAATAAATATCTATAGCTGACATGAAGCAGTAGAATGTGACATTATCTTTTACCAAGTCCACATCATCACATCAAAAACACCTGGTGAAAATGACACTTGGTTCTCTTATTTCTTGTCACTCACAACAAGCATCAAATTTCAACAGCAACATTCTAGACAGTTATTTCTACCTTTTATGGGAATGCAGATTTTTTTTTTTTATTTCTAACTCCTCTTCTATCTGCAGTTCTGGGGTTCAGATGGCTGTGACCAAGAGTCAGGAAAAGAAATGTCAGACTACTAAATCTGCTGAAGAAAATATCTGACACTTTGATTGGATGTCAGCAGAGACATCTTGCATAGCAGAAGGATGCTATCGGTAGATCAACCACACAGAAAGAATGTAATGAATCCAGTTACTGAGGATTCTAAGTTTAGTGCTTTACTTAGAATAGACTCTGTCCTCATATCTTAGCTGGGCCTGTTACAAGCATGGTTTGTTTCAACTGGAATTTTATTGTTAACTCCACATACACTTCTAAAATCACATAATTTGCTGTTAAAGAGTATGTGAAAAGAACCGAAAAAAGCAAAAATTAACAAAATTTTAGTTCAGGTCTTATGCTACATATTCTGTGCAGCAATAACTCTCCATTGTTATGGGGAAATGCCTGATATTTTGTTTCCCTGGCCATTAGAATATCTCAATTTTTAGTAATTCCTTAAATTTCTTCCCCTGATGTATTGTTTACAGCAAGTTCATTGCATCTGATGGCTGATTTTTCTGCATTTTAAAAAAGTTATATAATTTTATTGAATTACAGAGTTTGTGTGATAACAGTCATATAGTGACCCTTTTTCAAGTTGATATCATGACACTGCATCAAATTAATATAATTATGAACACTCCCTATATTTGTCATTGGATTGCATTTGTTCTATTTTCTGCATTTCAGAAAAAAAAGTCAAAATAATGGTTTCTAAACATCCTTCTAATCACACATCTATCCAAGAAAACCTCTAACATTTCACTGGTATCCTCAGATAGGACACTGTAGTTTCAGACTATCTCAGTTTTGTGATATTCTTTCACTGCAGCTTCCCTTCACTCTACTATTTGCCTTGCCTTGAGGTTTCTCCATTGTGTCAGTTACTGTATGAAAAATTATTTCATTCTTCATCCTCTAATTCGGCAAGATTTTTTTTTGCAAGAGCATTTGCAAGTGTGCTGGCTTTTTGCAAGAGAGCTAATGATGTTCCTAAGAGTTTAAATATATGTCTGATTTTTATATTTATTTTTTTTTTATGACAATTCTCAAGCCCTCAGATTACTGAAGGACACATGGCTACAAGTGTCTGTACCAAATGTTATTCCACTAGACAAATTTTAAAAAGCTATAGTTCATTTTCAGTTTGTGCATGTGAATGCAAACTAGGTACTCCAGAAAAGCTGCTCATCTAAATGTTCCCATAAATACTCTGCTTTGGGTTGTCACTAGCTACCAAGCTGTCCCTGCTTGTGACTGTGGTTACTAACACTGTAATGATAATGTAAAGGTACTATTGTCGCAATGCAGCTCTGTGATCCCAGAGCAGTAAAAGCTGACACAAAAATCATTTGCACCTCATTGGTCCACTTGCTGTAACCATGTAGTTATTTCTGCAAAGTGTATCCTTCTGCCATTATAGAGCCTATGGAACACCAGACATACAACGTTATTTCCCAAGGCACAAACCCAGCATCATAGGATGGTATATTTTTTTTGTTCTTGTTATGGTCTAAAGCTGTGCACAATTCTGCAGCTGTAAAGTCACATCTTCAGTGATACTGAGTTCCAATTTCAGAAGTAATTTTGAACTATACATGCAAATTTTAATGCCCTATTGTTTATATACGTGAGTTTTACCATCACTGAGAGGCTTAGATTTTCTGTTAAACTCTCAAGCAATTCACATTTACATTCAGTGCAACATTGGGTATTAAGTTTATTAAGATGTAAACTGAAAGCCTTAGCACTTGGTGACCAACTTAGTGGTGATCTGTTGCATGATTAAGAGATTTTAACATATTTTCATTCCAAGGCTGCTCAAAGAGTTACAGACCCATATTATATCTTCCACTTGTTCTTGTGCATGGTCACTGTATATTAGGACTTCTCTCAGGAGAAAACAAAGCACAATACTCAACTTAAAACCGTAAGTTTTTAAGTTGGCTGTATTTACCTACAGTTCAGAATTAAGTGAATAGTTACACTTTCCAATTTCTATGACTTAATGGGATAAATGAAAGCAATGAGTCTATATTTTCATGTAACAGCCATGCTGTGAAATCACAGAATGACTAGGTTGGAAGAGACCTCCAAGGTCATCGAGTCCAACCAAAGACTGTGATTATTCCACTTCAGCACTTTTTTAAAAAGATGCCTTTCTTCTTGAGAAAAAAATCCCAATTTTTCCTTCATTAAGTGAAGGTTCTTCCACAGCTTCACAATTTATCGTACAGAGTGTCAAGTAAAAGTTTTAAATAATTGCTTTAATAGAGACCATTGAAACATATACTGAACTCAAACCCAGACTTATTTTAATCTTAAGAGATCCTAATAAATTAAACTAAGTATATATAAATAATTTTATATTTTCATAGAAAAATGAGCTATCGATGCTCCATAGCATCATACATACATAGAAGTGTTATTCAGGCCCCAGAGTAGTCACGTGAATCATATTGTTCCTTTTTGATTCTATTTGCCTGACCTGGCTTTTGAAAACAGGAGGCATTCCATAACTCAGCTTGATGTGGCTTTGATTCTCACTAGAAGAGGATGGACTCAGCAGGGAAGCAGCACTTGTAGAAAGAGCTGCCAAGAGATAATCAAGACCCAAGGAACTGTCAGTCAGGACATGATGCTATATTGCTGTTTGCAAGCAAAAACCTTCCTTAAATTATACATTCTAGGTGAAATCTGTAACTTAAATTTCTTTATGAATGGGAAACCAGGAAAGAGAAAGTTTTATTGGAAAGTTTTTATTGGATGAGTCTTCAAATGCTTGATTATTAATTTGAAACAAAGCAAAATCTGTTGCATAATGTGAATAATAAACTCTCAGAAGTTGTTGGCTACAATATTTTATAGACTAAGTGAAATTTTCTATTTCATGAAGTATTACCAACCAATTATATTACTAATATTATATAAATTTAAAAATAGTCTTCTAAGACTGATTAAGAAACAGTTACCTTTATACCATCATACAGTAACAAAGAAGTACTTTTATTCATTAGACCACAGACCAGATTTTTATGATATTATACACAATAGGAAATGAGACCCTTTCGCTATTCTGTGTAGTTTATTTAATTTCATTACATTGAGTTTTATGCTATGTTAAAGCTTTCTTTCTGCTTTCACTCTCTGAGTTTATTGAAAGCCTTCAGACACATAATGTAGTAAAAAACACTTTTGAGAGAAGAGTAGATTCAACTTTTTTTCGATGTGAGAAATGAAAAACACATAAAGAAGGGGAGATTTTCAATAACCAAATATTGAAAAAAGGAGATTACAAATACTCATGCAATACTTTTTGTGAGTGGTCAATAGACCTAATGTAGAAAATCTGTATTTTGTAAATTCTTGTGCTGATCAGTGTTAAAGCCCTCTAGCTTAAGAATAAGAGATGAAAAAAAGAATAATAATTAAAATCTTGTTTCAGTTTCTATGTAAACAGGTTGCTAGCCCTTATGACTGTAGAGAAATGCATGAAAAATTAACCCAAATATACCCAAGAGACTAAAGAGACAGAAGTCAAAACTGTCCTTTCCATAAAAATAAGTGTAAGGTTTTAGGCTCTGAGTCATGCATTTTTAGCATTTTGGTCTTGGCAATATATTTGACTAACTGAAGGTACTGGTCCAGACTCTGAACGTGGAAGACAATTAGGTTGAAAATTAGAATGAAGAGATAGAGTCCATGATTGTGAGGTAATAAAGGAGTGCCTGTAGCAAAACCATGACAATGGATTTCAAAAAAGAAACAGTTTGTCACCCTCTGGAAGCTGAATAGGTTGATATGGTAGTAATGGAAGGATTCTCAATAAAAATAAAAATAAGAAATGGAACTGAGGGCAACAGCTAATTTCCATGATGCAGAACATAAAGAATGAATGTGGAAGCAAGGTAACTACATATGAAAAAGTACAAATATATATACACATAACAGCATGTAAAATATTATTTGACTTGACATTGAAAAGAAATCATATCATTTAAATGTGAAACAAAAGTTTATAAATCTTTATAAGATAAAAAAGAGAACAGGAATTTAGAAGGAAAATATGTCAGGTATGCAAAGGAAAAAAACCCAAATTTTAACCCAGCAAGTATCAGATAAGAAAATAAATTGATTTCTTAATGCTTGTCAAGAAAGAATATTTGGACTAAAGGGAAAAACAAGTAGAAGATGAAAAAGAAAAGACTGTAAAGGTCAATTTCTTTTCAACAGCATTCTTGAAAAAAAGGGTTTGACTGTGATGAAATGTTTAACAAGTAAAAAATGGGCCTGAATGAAGAAAGATTAAAGATTATGTAGATAAAGGTATCTGAGATAGCATGTTCTGATGAAATATACTATATTTAAAGAAGACACTCAAACTATTTCTGAGTCATTGACAAGTATTACAGAAAATTTACAAAAGAAGAATGAAATCTCAAGAGACAGTAAAACAGCAAATACAAGTATCTGTGTTTTAAAAAGATTAAGTGCATATGGGGGATTTACTGCTGGGAATTACAGCCATTTTTGGTATCTGAAAAGATGCCAGGACAGATTATTAAACAATCCATTTGTAAACACCAGGAGGATAATAAGATTGTAAGAAACAGCTTAGAGATTTATCAAGATTAAATAATGTCAAACAAATCTAATTTCCTCTTTGCTCTAGATAACTGACCAAGGAAGCAGAAGAGAGGCTGAAGACCTTTTTTTTTTTTTTCCTTTTGCAAAGGCATATAGCCACATGAAATCTCGTCAGAAAATTGCAGAGAAATATTGTAGATTAAACAAGCACTAATGGGGAAGAAAACCTTTTCTCAGACGGTATGCATCACTTTCTAATCGCTAGCCTTGATGGACTACTCAGGTGTGATCCGTGTGAATAGTATTAAAGAAATATATGTGTTCATAATTACATTCAGAATATACTGGTAACTCACAGAGGTGTTTAAATGGGAATTCAGCAAAACTGTAAAAATCTCTATGCATTCTAAAAAATAATATAAATTAATTAAGATATTTTTAAATAGATGGATTATTTATTTTTTCATCATTTTGAATAAGGATGATAGTGTTTAATTAAAAAAAACCCCAGCCATCAGATATATGGGATAGGCATACATAAAGAAAGGCTATTAAAGGAATTACCAGAATCCTGTATTCTAGACTGTTTTAGTTTTTTCACCCTTGTGTCAGAAGAGTGAGTGGTTAGATTCCTTCCTCATATTGGGATGATATGATAGCAAACAAGTGAAACAGTTTTGCATTATATTTAGGAGTCTCTTCCCACAACAAAAAATATAGTTGTTTGTGTCTAAGAAGCTTTATGGTTTAAGTGTAGACAAATTCTCAGTGAATTTGATAACTCATTTTTCTTAATAGCATTTTTATTAACGCTATGATTAGCTATTTGTTCTAGGACAAATAAAGTATATCAAATGTTAGTAGATATTTGATTACTGAGATTAGCTCTGTTAGTTAGAGCATGGTGCTAAAATCATCTCAGATTGCAGGTTCAATCCCTGTACAGACCATTTACTTAAGCATTGGACTTGGTGCTCTTTGGGGGTCCCTTCCATGGAACCTCTGCTTGGTCTGACAGAAGTTTCTGCCTTTTTCCCATTAACAGGACCAACCAGTAGCAAAGTGTGTTCCCCAGAAATATGCACAGCCACAAGCAGATCCACATGGGACACAGCACATCATATAACAGCCAGACAAGGCTCTGTCCTCAGAAACTCCCACACTCAAGACTCACACCATGCACACACAGCCACATTCCCTAATCCTCTTGGGCTGGCAGAGGCAAAAATCACTGGAGCAGCACACACACCACATTCCCCAAGGTCACGGACACAGACATGGATTTCCCAATCACCAGCATGGCCTCTCTGTCCACCTGGCTCCTCTATCCAGCCACCTTTAGCTGCCTCACAGGTCCCTAATAGCCAGCTGTTCCAGCTGTGGGCTCATTGGATACACACAACACTACTCCTACAGGCAGAACACCCTTGTGAGTCCTCCCTAAGGAGATAAAACCTCCACCCATCTGGTACCCGTGCCCATACCCAGAACTTCCTACTTCTCACGTGGCCCTGCTTACAGCTTGCCAGTGAATCCACACACAAACACCACACACACACACCACACACACCCTGCTGAGCATGTGTTAAAACCTGCCCCAGAAGACAAGGGTAAATCAGGTTTTATTAATAGATCCTGTATGACAGATTAAACAGCACTGAATAACTGGAGTTTGTAAATATATGTATGTAGGGTTTGTTTTGGAACAATTTGGTTGCAACAGAAAGCAGGTATGTAGCCATTTTGGTTGTTATTATCTCTAGCAGTATAAAAGTACAAAAAAAATAACACTTAAGAAAATGAAGAAAAGAATAAAAGTAGAACGATATAGAGTCCCTACTGTTGGATCCAGAAATCATACTTGATTGCTGCAGTTCTGATGTCCCATGGTCAAAGTGAAGTTCATATTCCTGTTAAAATGATGATCTTGATCTGTCAGGGAAAGTCCGTGAAATTCAAAGATTTCATGAGTTATAGTTATATATATAGCTACAGTCTCTCAAGTAGGAATGACCAATCTTCCCTGGGGCAAAGAGATGAATGATGTTAATAGTGTGAATCAAGAGTCCAAGTAGTTCCAGCTGCCTATTGGGTCAGTGCAGTTGAGTCCATTATGGCCCACCAGGGCCATCAGCAGAAATGGATACCTTCAGGCCATCTGTGAATGTCCTAGTACTTCCCAGGGAAGTTATCACAGCTGAATTCACTTAGCTCAGGACAAAAAGACAGTACCCCACCTACCCAGCAGGGTTTGCCTCTTTCTTTATTTCCTTGGGTAAGAGCTGTAGCCTGAGGTGTCAGGGGTGGTTTCCATCTGCACCTTGGCAGTTTTTCCCTGATTGTTTGAGCTATCAGCATTCCACTCTCTCTTCCAGCATCACTTGTGGATACGTTCTTCTCCCTAGACCTGGAATGATTAGACAATAGTTCCTCCTTTGCCTTATCTCAAGTTCCCATCACAATCCAAATTCCAGTTAGTAGGCATATTTGGGGAGGAGTGGGCTTCAGTGGTCACAGATGAGCAACTGCTTCTTTGCAGTTTGCTTTAGTGGACAAAGGTCCTCTGAAGATTTTAGCAATGTTTAAGCCATCACCCATTTCAGTCTCTCTCAGGAGGTACAGACACTTGCATCCAGCAGTCAGCACAGGGTACACTGAGGCTGTGTTCTACTGTCCTGCTCCAGCCACAGGTGGGGAGCCTTTTCCATTTGCCTTACCCCAGCCCTCACCTCGGTACAGCTACTGCTGTACAGACCATGTACAACATGTACAATAGCATGCTGGCATTAAGTCCTTGCAGCAGTGTCACTCATGGGGTAGACAGATGCAGACAGATAATTAAAACAAGATTTAATGTTGTATAAGAAAACAGAACAGATTGTGATGATCAGAGGAGCACACAGACTGCCTGGTTTTTGTGCCCCTTTCTGTCTATTCCCCTTTTCCTTCCTATTCCCCTTTTCCTTCCTCTCATGTTCCCTTTCTGAGCATAGTGATCTATCTGCCTGTAGTTCAATTGACATACCTCTGAACTTCTCAAATACCCAAGATCCTCATATTTGCATCCTTATCATCTGCAAAGAGCAGGTTGGCCCTTTTTGAAGTGGTGCCTGAAATTTCTTGGTAGCCCATTAGTTTGACCTGCAAGGCTGTTTCCTTGTATTGTCTCCACTGTTTTTGTGAGGTCTGCCTCCTCCTTTTCTTTACCATTCTGCTTCACAAAGTCCTTTGTCCTGGTTTTGGCTGGGATAGACTTAATTTTCTTAGTAGCTGGTACAGTGCTGTAACCTGTATTTAGACTAGTGTATTGGGTCTGGCTGAGGCAGAGCTCATTTTCCAACAGCAGCTCTCACAGTGCTGCACATTGCATTGGTAGCTGGAAAGGTGTTGAATAACACATCAATGCTTTGGCTACTGCTGATCAGTGCTGCAACAGCATCAGCACCCTCTCCAACATTCTCCCCACATCAAGGGGCCTAGACTCAGCAAGATACTGGGAGAGGACACAACTATACCAGCTGACCTAAATTAATCCAAAGGAGTATTCCTTACCATATGACACCAGATATAAAAGCTGACTGGTGTCTTTAGAACAGAAATTTTCATGACCTCAGAAAATTTGGTTGTTAAGGTGGAAGAGAGAAAAGCACATTAACAAAAATATATTAACATATTACTTTTAATTTTAGCTATTTTCTTCTGTCTTATTTATTTAAAGTTCTCCTGCTACAAGCCTACATCATGTACATGATCAACACAAGAGACAGCATCTTAGTCCATATCTTCTCTGATTAGCTGATCACCTGTTTCCAGAACTTGGGGAAAAAAAAATCTGGGCCTATTTGTGAATTTATACAGATATTAAGACGTAAGATGCACTTTTTGTGCATTGTTGAGATGAAGAATGAGGGATGGGACCACTTTGCTTTGAAATGATTTATTGCTCAAGTAGCCAGATAACATATCAGCTTCAAGGTGTGAGATTTAGAGAAGCAACAAGTCAGCCATAGCTCCAGGAAGTCATGAGTTTCTTCTCTGCACAGCAATATATAACATTTTGGTCCAATAGGCAGTTGACATGAAGCTTGTCTTCACTTACTAACCTATCACCTTGGCTTAATTTTGCTGCACTGCGTCTGTCTCTTAGCCACTAAGCTGACAGTCATACACACCTCTGTTATACTTTCTAGATCTCTAACTGACTCTATAACTCACACTATTACAGCTTAAACCTTAAACTATTTTACCCAATATAATTTCTTACCCACTCTAGCCATATTCCTACTTATAACTATAGAGACATAAGTTTATAATTTCTCTACCCAATGTCTGTGTACCTTGATCAGTACATCAATCTAAGCTCTTTCTAAGGCTGCCGATTGAGCCCTTCAGTCTCTGCAGAAGTTTGTATTTTTTGGTTTCCTACAGTGCATCTAAGGCATTCTTTTCTTTAGAGATGAAAAAGTGATTGAAATATTGCTCAGCGTTGAAGCTCTTTCCCCTCACTTGGAGAAAGAACCTCACATAAAGAAGCTGGTAAATGGACTTAAGATTCCTTGATTTTGTGTAGAAACCTTTTCCCTATATCTAGTCCATTTTCATGTGCATAAACCTATTGGATTAAGTATCATCAGGTATTAACCACTGTTTTGTCTAAAGGACGGGCTTTCATTCGCCTGCACCAGAAGTCCAAAGTAGAAGCAATGAGTTTCATATTTCATAGACACATCCTCAGCCCTAATGGAGCTGATCAACTCAAAATTATGTACATTACCTGACCTTTGAAAAAGTTTGATATTTTAGAATGCCTACTCTAAAGATGTTTCTCAGTTAATAAGGCAATTAAAAAAAATAACGACAGTACTTCTTAGCATAAATAAGTAAACTAATTCAGAGAAAATTTTTATTTCCCAATTAATCAAACTTCTATGTAGTTGTCGTAGGGCTTTTTTTTTTCCCCTGAAACATCTTATACACAATTATTGTTTCTTTTTTTCATAAAAATAATTTCAAATAAATTTTATGCCTTAAATTCTGATAATAAAAAACTCAAATCTTGTTATGGGTTGGGATTTTTTTAGGCTTTTTTTCCTCCTCATTCATCTTTCTGTGCCACAATCTATTTTGAGCACAAGGGAAAAGGTAATTTTCTCCCAATACACATCCATTTGGCACCTTTGTGGGTATGAAAGAATAACTCTTGAGTTTAATGACAACTGATTCAGAGCTATGTTCAAATACCTTCTTCAGACTGATTTTCCTCAGGCATACTAAAGCTTTAGTTTTGAATTGGCTGGGTTAAAACTAACTTTTCACTCTTTGGGGTAAAACTGGGAAATATCCATTAGTATCCACTGAGATAAATGCAAAAGAAAATTTGCCATGTTTTGAACAGAGTGAGACATAATAATTTCCTTAAGCCTTTCTAGAGCTTGAATAAGGTATTCATTCTATATTGAGTATTTTTCTGCATAATTTGTTAACATTGAATATAAATTTTTAAATTATTAAGACTTCCTTGTCATTTAATACTTACTTTAAGAGTACAGTTGGCTTAAAATTTTTATCTTAACAGGGAACAAAAGAGAGTATGAAAATCTGTTAGTATCTGGTGATCTCTTGTGAAAAGGTTCATATAATAAATATAATACAATATAATACAATATAATATAATATAATATAATATAATATAATGTAATGTAATGTAATATAATATAATATAATATAATATAATGTAATGTAATGTAATGTAATGTAATATAATATAATATAATATAATATAATATAATATAATATAATATAATTTATTACACAGGAACATTGAAAAGTCTACCTTGGTGCTGCTTCCTGCTAATGAAAATATCACAAAAAATTATTTAGTGAAATTCTGTAAAAGCCATCGCGTTACCTGGCATCTAAAGAAGGTATAAAGAAGACCCAAAGCAAATGGAAAATTACAGCCAGAATTAAGTTATAATTTAATCTTGCAACTAGTTTTGTAATATGATGTCCTAAACTTTGAATATTTGAACTAGAGGCAAAATTCAGGGTTGGCTTTGTTTTCACTAGATTAAATAATGCAAAAGAAATGACAGCAAGGACTTCAAAGACTGAGAAGCAGAGTTCACATTGATCTTGCAACAAAACTGTGCAGATTAAGTCCTAGATGCAACTGACTTGCATACTACTAAGCATTCCAGGATATTCAGCAGACTCTGAAAAATCATTGAAAAGGAATAAATGAGTACCGAGTGCTAGAATTGAAAGTATTAAGAAAAGAGATGCTGAAGGAGTATGAATACTGATAATAGGAAAGAAGTCAGGAGTCAGGAACATACAGCATAGGGAGGAGGATTAGGTGGGTTTATCCTGTGGGTTACCCACTAATATAAAAAGGTGCCTGAATTGCTCTCCCTCTATCTCATCTGGAATTTCTATTCCCCTGTAGGTGAATATATAACACGTTGAAAGCTAGGAGCACAAAATTAGGTTTACTTAGATTTACATAGCAACTAGCTTGAATTCACAAGTGGCCTAGAGTGGCTGACTGGAAGTGTGAAATATTAAAATTGGGAAGTGGGATTGGAAGTTTTTGAGAGACCATGTAAGTAGAATGCCATTTAGACCAAAATTCAAAGTATTTAATATAGGAAATGTACAGCTTTCTGATAAGCAGTTGCCACAAAAGGTAACAGACAGAAAGCTACAGCTTCTCTATGATATTGTAGCTTCTAAAAATTAATGACATGTTTAGAAATAAAAAAGTGAGCTGGAAATTGTGGCAAGGAGAACTCTGTGTAGTGGGATATAAAAAAAGGATGAGAAAATGAGTAGCAAATTGCAAATTCATGCCATTTCTCCCAGGAGTTCTTGGAGTTAGTATAATTACTACCTAATATGTCAATCATGATGCCATATTTGCCCTTGATGCTACTAACTATATTAACATCTATTGCCAACTAACATACATATATTACATCTAATCACAATAGCCCCACAGCTATATCAGAAAAAGACCACAAAAGGAAAAAGAAACTCTTTCATAACATAGAAGGTTTAATACCCGTAAAGAGAAAAAACAGCTAAAACAACTAAAATGTTTAATTACAAAAGCAGAATCTTAAATCAGAGTAACCTGTCTTGTAGTATGCTTGGGAAAACTACAAGTCCTGAAACCTAGGAAATCCCAGTATTCTACACCACAAACTGCTTTTTTGTTTGTTTTCCCTGGATGTAATGCAACCTCCAGGCATGCACTTCTTCAGTCCCTCTCTGTATTTTAAGTGTCATCTCTGAATGCTGAAGAGCTCTGGAGGATTACCATTTTGCTATATTCTGCTTTATCATGCAGTACTAACACTCTTAATCATGATTAAATAACCAGACTTCATTCATGTAATATGTATTTCCTGCTAGTCCCCCATGTCAAGATTGCTACACTCTTCACAAAAGCTGTGCAGCACAGAACTGGCTTGAAAGATCTGTGATATTAATGTACATATGTACCTTCATCTATTTCCTTGCACACAAAGGGAAAAGGTTTTTTCTGTCTAAAAGAAGATGTTGCTGACTTCTTAATCACTTTGCTACAGTCTCAGCTCTGGCAAACTATGCTAGTGCATCCATCTACTATCCTGTATTTTTCACCCAATATTGTTAGGTAGTTGGTGTACTTGTAAGGAAGTTCCTTTATCCATTGCAGGAACAGGAGATGAAAGAAAAAAGGAAAAATGCATGTCTCTACCTAATCTGCCATTTACCTTGGCATACCTGTTTCTCAAAAATATCAGTTCCATGAATGCATGTTTTTGGAGTAACAGATAAAATTGTTTGGCAGAGATTTTTTGTTTGTTTGTTTGGGTTGGGATTTTCTTGGGGGTTTTCTTGGTTTTGTTTTTTGCTTTTGAACTACCCATTTGATCAGTTCAGTGTAATGAACAGAATGTCTGACTGTATTCTTTGCCCACTTGATCGCATATGAAATGTATAGCATTCCCAATTATATCAATTGATAGTTGAATAATAATCTGAATTGGTTAAAATTATATCATCTTTCTGCCTCAGGCATATAAATGATCCTGCAATGGTGTGCATACATTATGATAAAATTAATTTTTATTCTGGGGAAGAATCAAATAGATAATGGGAGTGGTGAACATATTAATCAATTTCAAGAAATAATTTGCAGTTCAAGTATTGAAGACGGAGCAAATTGTTTTATAGGTGCAAATACTAAGAAGTGGAATCCTCATTAACATTGTCTAATCTTTTTAGTTTGAACCACATCATTTATCTGAACTGCATAATTTAAAGGTCAGGCAAATCTTCCATTTTTCAAGTAAGAATATAGACCTTGACTTTCAGTTCTTCAAGCAGCCAAAAATCCATTTTGGACAGTAGCCAAAAGTCTTGTCAGAGGGAAGGTTTTGATTTACAGGTGGTGAAAACTTTTCTCAGTCTCAAATGACTAGGTTTTATTGCCTCTGTAAGTGAAGATCTCTTAAAACAAACATTTCCTGAGCCAAGAAATTATTTTGTTTTTTAGAACTTCATCTGATAATTCCAACGGCCAAGATCTCCGGGCAGTTTGTGTGGTGTTCAGCAAGATGTCATATTTATCGGAGCTATAGAAGACATTTATTGCTTCATACACTGGGATCTCTCTTGGGATTCCTATTGAAATACATGCCATTAAATCACCTTCAGCAAGTTGCTGCACTGATGTCCATGGGGCATCTGCCAAAAAGCAGAGGCTTAGGCTGAGTGTAATACCAAATGATTTGGTTTGACTCTGACTGTGTTCAGAAAAGTTCCAAGGGGAAAAAAAAACAAAAGCAAAAGTAAAAAAAATCTAAAGTTTAAATTTCTTAGTCAAACTTCCATTAACAATTAAATGTGTTTTAGATATGCAGAAAAAATGTTTCTAAAACATGGAAAGTTTGTTTCATGTATAATATTTATAGCTTTATAAACCAAAAAGCTAAAGGTCTGTTCATTGAAAAAAATACACTTTCCTGCTATGATTTAGAAATTATTCTGTTTATTTAAGAATAAATTATTAAATTAACATTTTAAGATATTGAAGGTATAGCTCACAACACTGATCAATGCAATATACTCACCACACTTTTGGGAGCACTGGAGAGCTGGAACCTAAGATTCTCATGCTTACCCCTCTGATGAGTAGTACCTTTTGTGAGAGGCGAGATCAGCAAATCAAAGACACAACATTCTCTATATTTCTCTTTTTTGTGCCATCTGAGCAGCTAGAGTAAAATACCACTTGAGTTTTGTTTGGTCCTCATGTGATTTGATTTCAGAGAGAAGATTCTCCACTGTACTCAAAAGCATCTCTATATCTTTGTATATAAATCCATGAAGCAAACTTCTGGACCTCCAGAAGTCCCTTTCGAACTAAAATATTTAATGATTCTTAGCTGAGAAACCTTTGTGAAAAAATACAATAAATTATTTTAAAAGGAAGCCTAATTATTGAAACCAATAATGTCATGACTAAAAAGATTACTTGAAAGAGTTCAAAGTAAATTGAAGAAATAAAAGTAAATTGGCATGAGTTTAAAACAGCTGACGAGAAAGCAAAGAATTAGTGGAATACAGGGAAAAAAGTGTGCAGTGTTTAAAATGGTGTAAAAGTTTATTCTCTCTAAAAAGTATTATCAACATAGATATAGTGGCTAGGTCTCTCTCAGCTTGACCTTTGTGAACTAAATGTTGATCCAAGCTGCAAGGATGGAATCTATAAATCTTCTCACTGATTGTCATGCAGCTTGCCATCTGCCCCATAGAAGACCATATCTGTCAGGGATATATAGAATTTACAAAACTAGTTTAATCTAAATGTTTAGTTCATAGATAAATGAAGTGAGTGCTGAACTTGCTACCCAATTCAGTCAATATAAACAATATATGTCCCTTTGCTTTTCCTAATGTTCAAGAGATACAGATGTTGCACCAGAAGAGAACACAAATGAAATAAAACACCACCTGATATATCCCTGATATTCCAAGAAGGAAAAAGATCCAATGCTTCCTTCTGATCTGAAGGAGAAAAACTGAAGCCTTGGAAGACTGGAACACTCCAGTGATGTATTAGTCAGATTAACCAAAGTTTGTAAAGACTTGCAAGTGAAATCCTTAATTTCATTTTTCTATTTTGGAAAAAAAATATTTTTCTATGAAATAGTTTGTTTCTTGTTGTTCTTCTCTTTACATCATGACATTAGTATATATTTGGATTTCTTCTAAAATTGATTGGAAGACTGCTTGCTGTCCTATCAGCAAGTTTCAAAACTATTTCCAATTACTTCAATAAATAGAAAACTAAATTAATATACTTTATATGATGCTAGTAAAACATATTTTCTCATGACACATCTGAATCAGACACAATGAAAACACATTTTACAATCCCCAAAACAGTACCATCTATAAAATAATAGATAAAATAAATGTCTAAAATAATATATAAAATATAAGAATTATTTTAGGGAATAGCTTTGATAATTCCATTTTAATTGTTTTACTATTAACTTAGATTTACTAAAGAATCTCTAACAGAATTCATCCATGGGAACTTGTAACTTTAAACGCCATTAGGAAACAAGAAGGTAAAGGATTAAGTCATGTAATAAAATGAAATTAGAAATGGAAAATCTTAAATTTCCTCATGTGATATCTGGCATTATTTCAGAGCAAAAAGTAGCTTACTTCTAGATCTCTATACTTAATTAAGCTTAAATACATTTTTCATTTTTTTCTGCTTAGCAGAGACTTTGTATGTATGCATAAGGCCTGAAAAATGACATTGCAGGTTGATAGGCAGCCACAACACCTATCACTGTTCTCAGCTTAGTTGACCATATATTAATCTATCTTTTTGGTAGATATTCCTCATGGAAGCTTTGAGTAGAAACTGCCTTTTACCGTGTCTGTATGTTGCACTAGAATTAGAGCTAGTAAAATGATTAAAGGATTGAAGTATCTGACATGCAAGGAGATGCTGAGACAGCTGGGACATTCTAACCTCAAAAAGAGAAGACCCAGGAGCATTTTATCATTGTATATAAATACCTGATGGGAGGGTAATTCTGAAAGATAAAGTCAGAATACTCTCAGTAGCACCCAGAGAAATACAGATTGCAACACAACAAACTCCACATAAACATAAGAAAATCTTTTTCTTACTGTGAAGGAGGTCAAATACTGGAGCAGGTTGCCCAGACAGGTTGTGGAATCTCCACCCTTGGAGGAATTCAAAACCTACATGCACGACACTACTCTGACCAGCCCACTCCAGGCGACACAATGATCTCAAGAGCTCCTGCCAGCCTCAGCCATTCTGTGATGCTGTGATAGTTTCTAGCAGAGCTCTTTGATCCCTGATGAGTGGTGCTCTGATATGTGTGTAGACAGATAAATAGTATTAAAGATGGCTAAGTTACATAAGTTTTTGTATTTTTACTGGTCGTGGTCTTGAATATTGAAGCTTAGGTAATTAATTGATTAGATAAGAAATAATATTATGGTCATTACAGTTATCATTATGCTTTAATTTTTGCTCCAACCTTAAATGCTCTGGATGAGATTCTTCTTGTATGCCTTTTTGTAATATGAGATTGCTTCCTTCTGGAGATGATTTTTTTACCCCCACTACTGCAGATGGTATGTCAAGAACTAGCCCGAACTACCCTAGAAAGATGTATGTTTTGTACCACCAAAGTCAGAAGACATGAATTATTCCTAAACATGTGCCACAAAAAAACCCCAACAATGACAACAAGAAACAAAAAAACCAAAAACCAACTAACTAACCAACCAACCTACCAACCAAAATAATTACCTCCCCCAAAAAAAACCAAACCCAAAAGTTAATTGAATTACTAAATAGCTCAAAAGGAAGATTTATTAATACTAACTTGGAAATGTAAGAAAGTATTTTTGGAGGTGGATTCTGAAGCAACATGTTTTTCTTCTTAAAAAATCTGAAGAAAACCCTGATATGTAATTTTTACCACAATGTAGCATAGGAGATGCATTTCCTCGTAAATAAGAAATAGCTCTTGAGACATTTTTCTTGTCAAAAAAAGAAATATAAATCCCTTCTGGAAGTAGGGGAAAAGAGAATTTTAATTACCCTAAGCCGTGTGACAGTTTACATTTGATAGCTTGACTTTTAATTTCAGTGGTTAGTCACAGAGCACACTGCATTCGCTCAGCCATATGACATCTTATTTCTATTACAAAGATAAAGATACATTTTCTTTTACAAGGCCAAATTTCTGAGGAGTGGTGCTGATAAAATTGGCTTGGCATCATGCACAAGAAACTATCATGCTGGGCTAACCAGTATTACGAGAATTCATGTGTTTGCAATGTAGCTGATAAACCATGTAGTGCAATGACTGAAGTTGTTCACAGCCTGCTTACAGATTTTCTATTTAGTCCTTTTAGAGAAAGATGAGTATAAATTAATATTTCTGCAAAGAATTTTCCTTCTCACAAAGGAGAGCTCTAAAAATCTCTCTCTTTAATATTTTCTGTTCTTTTCTTCTTAAAAACAAACTAGATTCTTCTAGTCTGTATCTGATTAACTCAAAACTTTTTGAGATTGTGTTCTTTGTATTTCACAAACTTTTCATAATTATGAAGAATTTCTGGTCTTTATATGTATTTTAGAATTGTATCACTTTTAAAAATGGTAACTTTGAATGTTGTTCTTTGTTGAAGATTTTGCACAAATGTATTTTTCCTTAATAAATTGGTTTTGAAGTTTATAATCAGGGTGCCACTATCAGAACAGTACATGGAGAGTTAAAATGTATAATTCAGGTAACTAGATGTCAAGTCATCTTGGTCTTACTCTCTTTTTTTCTTTCTTCCCAAAAAATGCATATGGGCCACTTTTTGTCCAGCAAGACCCCCAGGCCATTTTCTGTCAAGCTCCTCTCCCATCAGCAGGACTCACAGTCTGTCTTGCCCAGTCATGGGATTTGGCATTTCCCTTGTTGCGCTTTGTAAGATTCCCATCAGCCCATCTCTGCAGCTTGTCAAGGTCACTCTGAATGGCAACACAGCCACCTGGTGGTACCATTCCTTCCAGCTTTACATCATCCGCAAAATTCCTGAGAGTGCACACTGTCCCATCATCTAGTCATTAATAAAGATGTTAAAAACACTGGGCTCAGTAACAGCCCTTGCAGTACATTGCTGGTGTCTGGGGTTCAGGTGGATTTTGTGATGCTGATAATGAGCCCCCAAGCCAAGGGGCTCATTTCTCTTTTCAATCCACCTTCAAGTCCTAATCACTTAAGTCCAAATTACTCTGCTATGTCAAAATAACTTTTACTACTCTATCACTGAAAACTTACTCAATCATATATATAAAATCTGCTTTAGTACTTACAATTAACAGTAAGACTAACGCAGTTGAACTTTCTGTAAAATATTTTTTTTTCCATAATCGCAAGCATATTTTCTTGTGCCAAATAACTGAAACTTTGTTGTTTAAGGTAGATGATGTTATGGCTAGAGAATTGTAAGATCCTCCCCATAGTGAAATAGAATACATAGCAAGAACTCATACTAAAGAGATGTGAAAATAGTATGAAACGTGTAAAATCATAACTTTTTATATTATTGCTGAAATTTACCACTGTTGTTTGAGTAGTGGAAAAGGATTTCCATTCCTTGAAAATAGGACAGATTCTAATAGGTACATAAGAATAAAATCACACAAAG